GACAGTTGTCCTGGGAGCACTGTACCAATGTGGCGGCGCTATAGACGCATGCTCAGGGTCCCTATGCGATATCTAGTGTATATATCTATGTCACAAATTGAGGAGCGGGGAAAGGAGGCGGAGTGGCGTGACTACGCGGGGAATCCTTCACAAACTGAGGAGCGATCACAAACCGAAAGCGGCGAGAGCGTCAAAGTAGCCAGGTCATTCATTTTTTAACGAGAACCGGCGGCGAGAAACAGCGGCGCGTCTTCATTGGCTATGACGCGGTTCGGCGGCAAGCAATCAGAATGAAGTAGTCCACCGCCTGAGCGGAGTTCAGAGAACACAGACCTGTAAACTTTGGTTCCGACCACAGTTGTTCCCAAGAGTTTGATTATTGCGGTTCCTGGATTTTCAATTATTAAAAATCGCGACGACGTGGGGCCCCCTAATCACGCGGGGCCCCCCCGCGGTGCGTGCGCCACTGTTCGCAGGCTAATCATTTTTAAACTCAAAAGGTATTTTTAACGTGAGACTGCTGCAGCATAATGGGATGTTTCTTACTAGAACTTTTAGCGATGTCAAAATGAAAGCAAACATTAAAAAAGGTTTTGTGTTTTATCAATTGTATAGTTAAGTTTTAATAATAATGAAAATAATAAATTATAGTATTGATTATAGTGTAGACTACTGTGCAGTGTCCAACAAAACATTTTTATTAGGTTACTCTAATAGACCTGATCCCTAACTGTAAAACGAATGTGAAAATTACAGGCAGTTGTCTCCCTGCCTCCTTCCCCGTATGAATATGCTAATGACTCTACTTTGGCAAAACCCACCAAAAAATAATGGCAAAAGCAAGCAAAAAGAGAAACTTTGAACATAATGTGATTCGGAGATGCCGCTTTTGGAGGTAGACCGGAGATAAACGGTGTTATTTGCAAGTTTGTTCTCCGGAATTTAATAACAAAAGAAAAAAATAGAGTGGGAGAGTTTAGCTGCTGTGGTTAACCCAATTGGGTCTGACCATCGCACTGAGTGGATTAAAAAAAGTAATAATGTGATGTATCGGTGTACAATATTGTAGCATCTTTAACAGTGTAAGTGGCGCAGCTCGTAATACGCATGGCAACATGTTTTGACGCTATCGAGCATGAACTCGGTTTGAATCCAGCGTCTGATGAACTTATACCCCCCCCCTCCCCCCGCGCTACATATCAGATTTTGCCGATGCTCTTCATCACAAGGAAGAATAATAGGAATCATTAATAAGTCTGTGCATCATATTTTATTTGCACATTTATTAAATGGAAATGTTTCTGATTCATTCGTTCGTTCATTCATTTTCTTGTCGGCTTAGTCCCTTACTGATTCACGTATGCAAATCATCTTCAGATGGCGCCTTTATAGCATATATAACGGCGACCACTGCAAATTGCGCTTTAATGTTTGGCTGGTCACCTATGGTATGGAAACCTTACTAAAGATACCTGCTAGACATGCTGATGAACCCGTCTCATACAGCTGTCATTGCACGGCTCAAAGACACTTTGTTGAGTGCAATTTAGCCTCTAGGAGTTGTCAATGGAAATAAAACAAACACACACAAGAAATGTGCGCACGCCAGGCATGAAATTAATGTGTACCTGCGCACATTCCCATGTTCATTTCATCATTAGTAAATCCAAATCCAATCCAAACGTGAGCGTGAAACCTGGCGTACGCAAAGTTTTTGTGCGTATGCAGCGTTGATACATAAGGCCCCAGATGTCTGCACTATTGCTTTAATTTCACAATTTTGATAATTTCATTGCATTTTTATAGGGTAAAATATCAAAACTTATGTTGTGAAAGTAGTAGGAATGACGGGACTGTTAGTAATTAAAGACAGAAAGAACTTTCACTTTTGAGTGAACTTCTGTCACGGATTATTTTAGTAGGATAATAGGTCATTGGTACCTCCGGGTAGACGGCTGATAACAGCAACAGCATCTGGCCTACAACAGCATCTGTCAGATTTTTAATCTGACCTGACTGTCATGTCATGGACTATTATTTCCAGTTTGGGAAAAGTTACAATAATATTCAGCAATAATTTTTTAATGTTTAGTAACAAAGATAGGAAAATTGTTTTATTATAAATCTAAATTGAGTAACAAGCCAATTTGATTTAAATTTATATATATATATTAATGTAATATGATCTTTACTTCTAATGATTTTCAGCATAAAAGTAAAATCACTCATTTTGACTCATACAGTGTATTTTTGGCTACTGCAAGACTGAAGAACTGCAAGTAACATTTGACTAGATATCTGTCAGTAGTGATACACAAATAAACAAGGAGGACGTATAAATCTCTTCATTTATTTTGAGCACTATTGCTCTCCTTATTCCTTTACATTTAAATTGAGGACAGAAATGTATTTAAAAGTTATTGTTGTTACTTCTAAAAGTTGCTGTAATGTAATTGACTGGTGTCTTGTGTTTCTTTCAATAATGTTTGGACATGTTTCTCTTTTATCTATTATTTTTGTAGATTTTGTCTTGATGTTGCTGGACAATGAAGAACAGACAGGAACTGGACAGCTTGTGATGGCAGTAACTGAGCAGAACAGCTGCTGCTACAAGCGACAGCCCAAATCTTACCAAGATCATCATGAGACTGTTCTTCCACGCCTGAACCCAGAGCTGCTTGTGTTGCCAATGTTTGACCTATGCAGTGTATCTGCTTGGCATCTAAACAGTAGACCTCAGGTATTCAGGACCTTCTCTTGGAGTCGTATTCATGAAAGCTGTCAAACACAGTCCAGTTACTCAAGTCTAAACTGTTGCTTTAAACTTAGATTGTCAAAGTTTGAACAGTCTCAAAGGGTGGTCTGCAATCTTGACCAGGGGGGAAATATTTGTTGTATTAGTATATGATATTGTAGTATAAAACAACATATTGTCTAACAGTAAAACCTTCTCTGTGGTTCCATTTGGCTAAACAGACTCCACAAATTAGTGTTAAATCATAGTAAACATAGTATATGGCACTACTGGTTTGTTAAAGAGATTCCTTCAGCTAATAATGAATATTCTGTCATCTTTTACTCAGCCCTTACTATAAGTTTCTTTCTTCTGTTATACACAAAAGAAGATATTTTGAAAAATGCTGGAAACCTGTAACTATAGGGTATATGCCGAGCTAGTGTTTTTCCCATACTGATAAACTTCCGATGACCTGTTATTGGGATTTTATTTTTATTTTTTTCTAATTTACACGGTTCCTTTTACAGCATGGATGTTGTAATGTAATTAAAATACATTCAGTTAAATAAACTTTGGCATTCATTTAGTTGCTCAAGAGTAAAACGAAACAAAAAGCTTTTTACTTGCATGTACCTGTCAGAATCAGCAGGCTAGCGCAGCTCCATTGAATATACTGGGGCAAAATAAATGCTCATATTATAAAGACATGGCAGGGAAAATGTAATTTAATTCAGTGCTTCTTGTACAATCTGAGACCCATTTTATATCGGATATCACTCAGCCAGTGGAGGTCGCTGATTTTGAAAGAAAACTGACCTTAAATGTCCAGATTTTTTCATGTGCATACAGTTGACTGAAAGCAAATAACCCAGGTTACTCACAAATTCAAAGTCCTATTAACATGCTTTGGCATATACCCTATCGACTTCCATTGTATTTGTTTTCCTACTGTGGACTTCAATGGTTACAGATTTTCAGATTTGTATCTTCAGTGGTCAACAGAGGAAAGAACCTCATCGGTTTGGAAGCACTTGAGTAAATAGTTTAGGGAGAACTCTCTCTTTAATTGAGTAAGGAGTCATTTAGAAAACTCACAGAAATGATGATCAGAGCTTCAGTTTGATTCACAGGATTTTATTGGAATTATTAACAATATATAAAAGCAATTCATCACAACACAATTCAAAGAACAATTAATTACAAAACAATCATGAAAACTTAATTATAAAACAATCAGTCTCTCTTATGACAGAACACCAGATTCATTTATGAGGTAGAAAATAGTTGAGCAGATCTTTGATGACACTTTAGAGGAGAAAACTGACAGCACTGGATTTCCTGATGGAGTTTCATCATTAATTCAGTTCAATTCATCTTCATTTCTATAGCGCTTTTACAATGTGGATTGTGTCAAAGCAGCTTAACATAGAAGTAAATTAAAACTGTGTCAGTCCAGTTTTCACAGTTGAAGTTCAGTTCAGTTCAGTGTAGTTTAATTGTCACTGCTGAAAGTCCAAACACTGAAGAGCAAATCCATCGATGCGCAGCTCCACAAGTCCCAACCAAGCAAGCCAGCGGCGACAGTGGCGAGGAACAAAACTTCACCATTTGACAAAAGTGAAGGAAAAAAACCTCGAGAGAAACCAGTCTCGGTTGGGCACGACCATTTCTCCTGTGGCCAAAGGTCTTGTGCAGAGCTGCGGTCTAGGAACCATTCATTACCATTATTGTCATTAATTACTCAGCTCATGTCCTTAGTTCATATTCATGTTTAGTTCATATTGAGAACACAAATTAAAACATTTGAGATGAAATCTGAGAGCTCTCTGACCCTCAAACCGCATGTTCAGAAGAGACCAGTGCACTGTATGTGTGTCGCACTGCTGACGTTTAACCCAGAGGCCTGCGCGACTTCCTCTCATTTAAACAAAGCGTGGGCACACATACAGTGCAGGACAGAGCTCTCATCAACACACGTCATGAACTGACACTGAAGAAAAGTAAGGTCTTAGGGGTTTGGAATGACATGAGGGAGTAATTAATAACTTTAATAGTCTTGTGAAATTTCTGGAAATGCTGCTCTCCTCTTTCTCGCTTCTTTAGTGTTTTCTAAAATTAAAAAAAACAATCAGAAACAACACAAAGTTATTTAAGCAGTGATATGAAGGGCTGTCAAATAAGAGTTGTGACTCTAAAAGAGCAAAAGAGAAAACAACAGGAATAGCATGAAGCAAAGAAATAATGAAGATGTACTTTTGTGCTCAGTGTGTTCCTCTACATCCTGGCGTCTAACAGCTCCATAAGATTTGGGGTCGTTAGATTGAACCACTGGTGCTTTTCTAACTGATGTAACTGCAGCCGCTGAAGTGGACATCGGATGAAACACTGGGAAATCAGGTCCTGGCATGCTGAAAAGTGACACAGAGTGTGAAATATGTCTGCATACTCAAGATTCATGAACGTGTTTAAATCTTACGACATCAAATTACAAAACATCCACAATGAAATAACTTTAATATCTACAGTAACCATTATATTTAATCCTTTTTTACTTGTGATTGACATATTTTACTCTGTCACTGAGGCTGAGATTGTTCAGAGGTGTCTGCTTACCTGTAGATAACCTGGGGTGTATCTCAGCGGATTCAAACATTACTGAATCTTCGTCACGAAAGGGCAATTCTGCATGCAAGATTTCATACAGCACAATGCCAATTGTCCAGATGTTTACCGGGTCAGCATAGAATGTGGGATCCCTAAAAACCTCAGGTGGCGTGCAGAAAATAACTCCTATAAAAGAGACATTTTTAGAATACAATCATTTCATAAGACAATACTGTGAGCAAAGAAACTAACACAAAATGCCAACTCACCTAGATATTGATCGCTATTGAAAGGCTTGTGGGTAATTGGCTGAGCACAACCAAAGTCGATCAATTTGAGCTCTAATCGGGGTTGAGTCACCAGGATGTTCTCCGTGTGGATATCTCCATGGAAAACTCCACGCTCAGTGCAGAACTTTACAGCTTGAATCAACTGACGCATTAACTGGCGTGCTCGCTTTTCACCAATGTCCAATGTATCTTTGATGTACTGATCCAAGGTCTGGCATGACTCTGCGTACTCCAGACTGAGAATGAAGTTTTTCTCATTCTCAATCCAGTCGTGTAATTCGATGATGTTTGGACATTGCGGAGCATTCATCAACTTAAGCATCATTGCCACTTCCGCAAGCACAGGTGTGGAATGACCATCCTAGAAAAAAAAAAAAAACAGATTTCAACGATATTACCAAAGCAGAATGGCACAAAGTACAGAAACAAAATCTTTACTAAGTAAATAATCACTGAGCTCCATGTTCTGACACATGTTTGCTTGTATTTGAGAATTTACTCATGCAGTTTAAGCTAAAAGAGGACTCTACATGTGTGTGTTCTTTCCGTCTCTGTGGCTAAGCACATGCACACAACAGCACAAGGTCTCTTCAGCACTATTGAAGACATGAATGAAGTATCTACACTCTAATAAATCAAGCACATCCCATGCTGCAAAAGTCACACTACATGATTCCACTGATGTCCACGTGACACTGAGCTTTGTGTAGAAATGAATGCAGACTGCTTTACAAGGGGCCGGGATATGACACAATGATCATTTTTATCTGCATTAATGTTAAACTAATTTTCATTAACTCCACAGCCCTACATTCATGTGTTCAAAACCTGTCTCTGGGTTTATTTCTTCTGCTGAACACAAAAGAAGATTTTTAATGTTGAAAACCAGTAAGCACTTCATACTCCATAAGTATTTAAATTTTTCTACAATGGAAGTCAGTGGCTCCCTGATTCCAACATATCTGCTTTTGAGTTCAGTTTAAATTGGTCCAGACAAGTACAGGACAAGTGAAGGACGAGTAAATGGTCAGCACATTTTCACTGTTGTTTAAATTATTCAACTTACAATGTCAAGATAACGGTTGTCTTCATTCTTGTTGATAAACTTCAGGGCAACCTGCGGAGAAAAAACAACAAATTAAATAAAAGCCAAGAAATTTAATATATTCAATAATCAGAATGAAAATTTTGACTGAATTTAAAAAATAGTTCTCTACCTTTTCACTTTTACGAAGTTTGTGAGATGCCACAAACACCTGGCCAAAAGCTCCTTCTCCAATCACGGCTCCTACTTCAAAATCAGACAAATCAAATCCTGAAACACAGAAAAAGAGCAGCGAGATTTACTTGGATTGTCTGGTATGAAACGGATCAAATAAATCACTAATAAATTCTTCAAATCTGGATTTAATGCAATGAGCTGAAAGCAGTAACGTCCATCAGAATTGCTGGAGTAAATTGATTACTAATTTATATTTATTATGTGTTACAGAAAATAGAAGGAAGTGATGACTTACCACGAGTGGGTCCAGAAGCCTCTTTAGACTCTTCAGGAACCTGGCCTGGCAGACATACTGCCTCAGGGTACGCTTGCTCCAGCTCTGGCTCAGGCTCTGACTCTGGCTCTGGCTCAGGTTCAGGTTGTGGTGTAAATTGCTGGACTATATCTGTGTCACAGCACAGGAAAGGGCGCGTTGCAGCCTTCCATACTCTCTTGAAGAAAGCAGAGACTCTTTTCCCTTTCCTTCCTTTCTTGGGTTTTTCTAAAATGAAGAAAACAAACAGAAACATCTCCATGAACAGAGCTGCAGCTACTAATTAATACGCAACCAACAGTACAACAAATGACACTGTCTGATTTACAAGCTAAAAACAACAAAGCATAAAAATAACAGATGGCAGAAATAAAATGAACCAAATTCAGGACGACTCACCATCAGTCCCATCCATTTTAGAGTTGTGTTGAACAGACGAAGGCGACTCAGGACAGGCCGAATCTGCATCCGTCATGTTCTTAATATTGGTGAGGCCATGGACACTGATTGGCTGAGGATCTTCCCAGATCTGGCCTGGTAGACACTCCAGCTCAGTATCAACATAACCTGTCAGGGCTGTTGGGGACTCAGGACGGGCCAGATCTGCTGTTTGCTTGATGCTGGAGGGGCCCGGAACACTCAACGGCTGAGGTTCTTCACAGATCTGGACTGGGGGACGCATCTGCTCAGGGTCGACATGATCTGCGACGGTCGTTGGCTTGATCCTGGATGTACCTGAAACAGCCAATGACTCCAGACGGTCGCAGACCTGGACTAGCGGACGCATCTGCTCAGGGTCAACATGATCTGTGAGGGCCTTTGAGGACTCTGGATGGGCCGGATCTGCATTCAGCACATCTGCTATTTGCTTGATGCTGAAGGGGCCCGGAACACTTAACGGCTGAAGATCTTCACAGACCTGGCCTGGCAGCCACACCGGCTCAGGGTCCGCATGTGCTGTGACGGTCCTGGAGGGACCTGGAACAGGCAGATGCTCGAAATCATCCATATCCGACTGTGGTTCAAAGGAAACCACTCTGTTCCAGTCACAGCAAAGGAAAGGGCGCTTTACAGCCTTCCATGCTCTCTTAAAGAAAGCAGAGGCATTATTTACTTTCCTCCTTTTCTCTGGATTTCCTAAAATAAAGGAAATGAACAGGGAAATATTAGAAAACTCTTTAACCACAGGTTTAAAATAGACAAACTGCTGTAAATTAGACAAATAAAAGATAATCACACAAAAGAAATAACAATAATAAATGTACAATTATAACAGAAAATGTTTAAAAACTGAAGCAACTATTTAATAAAAATAAACATTTTACTCCTGCTCACACAAAATGCAAACTATTATAACTGATTTTGAGTCAATATTCTGAGTTTTACCAGTTGTAGTTTGAGCTATTTAACAATCACCATCACAATGTTTAATCAAATTTATGTAGCCTTTTTTTTGTCAGTGGGTGCTACATCTACATCTACATCTTCATCAAGCACCACTTCGCCACAAAAACTAATGAAACTAAATCAACATTTTTCAGCCTTCCATTAGCAATCGTCAAACTCAAAGTGAACAATTTCTCTCGCTCTGGAGCTTCAGTTGAGAAATCTGTAAGTAAATTATAACTTTAAACATTTAACAATCAGTCTTAGAAATACAATTGAAAATAGAAGTCTTACTCCAGAACTTCAGTTACAGAAACAGAGCTCTAGACCTTTATTAATATGGAGGTAAAGTTGGTTTTATAGTTGCACATTTGTTCTTTTAACAGTGTCTATATTGTTTACCATGCTAATTTTAATAGTGGGTCTGAAATCGCATGTAAGAATGACTTCAAATCAACATTAGCACTATTTAGTTGACTGTAAACACTGTTATATGATAATAGTCATTAGCTGTTAATATGATTTCCCCATTTAGAATTTGAAACAATATTTTTCTGTTATTATATTATTAAGGAGAAAGTCAGAATGTGTGAATATAAAACCAAATTTACCTCAATTGTATTAATTCATCCCTGCTTGAACAAATAAAGACTTAAATATAATATTCTCACTCAGTTTGCTAAAATATAACAAATATTCCTCCACACCATCAAAAACTAAGAATATTACTGTGCAGGTCTACACATAGGATTTAAATTACAGTAATATTAAAATGTTTTTATCAGTAAAGTTAACAAGCCACAATTTCTGTTGAGTGGAAATGAGAAACTTAATTATTATTATTATATATTGTTATTATATTATTAATATTATACTTTTTATTAAATAATGCGTGGGAATACACCCTTTTTGTAAACTCTCATCTCACCTGTTGGGCTTCTCATCATGGTTGGAGGTGTAGGAGAAGCCATTGTGTCACTTTGATGATTATCGTTGACAAATACAGGCTTAATCAAATTAACTCGAGTAAAAAACACAGCTGACATGTTATTTGCCATGTGAGATGCAAAACAAGTCGCTAAAGTCGTTAAATCACTGTTCACTGTAGTTGTTCGTTTGTCACTCTGAGGAAATTCTGAACTTGTTCTGTCCTATGACGTAATGGCATTCTATTTATGTCATCATCGGTGACGTGAGCTGGGCGGGGTCATCCAAGATGGCGCTCTGCTCGGTTAAGTTTTATTGAGCTCCACAACTCAGTTGCTGTTTTTGCCAGAGAATAAATTTATAACAGATAAAATGTGACATATACCGCCATGAAAGCTTCAGTAATTATTAATAAAATTCTATCAGAAATATCAGTATCAACTGCAGCTGTACGAGCAGCAAAGTTTTAAAGTATTAAAGTTTTATATCACAGTCAATAATAAGTGGACCTTTTTGCTTCACGTGTAAAAGGTTGAATAATAAATATGAAGGGTTGGGCTAAAATAGTCTATAAATTATTTGTCCACAAGAGAAAGAAAAAATGTTTTATGATTTATTAGGCAAATAACAAACTGGATCGCACAAATAACCTCACTTTAAATTGTCCATCTGAATAATAAAACAAAATAAAACAATAATAATTATAATAATGTCCTGCCCTTTTTATGCCTCTCTTGTAAATAAGTAAAATTCACTAATGACAATCATTATATTATCGCTAAAATATTATCATTATCAGTGGATTTGACTCATTATATAAAACTCTATTTAAAACGTGTTGATTTATGGACTGCTTTTGGTGGTGGACTCTTTATTCATTGTTTTGTGTTAAACAACAGCTGTCATTTAATAATAATTGAACATTCTAATTTGATCATTTCTGTGTAATAAAAATAAAACGAATTAAGTGAAATAAAATGATAATAAAATGAAAATTAAACACTTAAAGAAATAAAAGTAAAAATGATGAATGAAGAGAAAATGCCTCACATTAGCCTAAAGATCGTGTAGTTGAACATGACTAGTTGGCTTTTTTGGCAGATGAAGGAAAGTCAGAACACATGTTTTATGCTAATAGTAAATGTGTCTTGATTTATTTGGCACTTTACGTGTTTTGGCTGTAAAAGCGCACCTACAATTGTTTCTCTAAACAGGCGCAGGCCAGATTTTCTCCAGATCATCATTTATTTCATTTAAACTGATTTTGTGTAAAAGAATACATTAATTAGACCTGCCCAGTGTCGTCTGGAGTGTGTCCCAGACCGCAATCTGAAGTGGTTTGAGCGATTGGATTAATATCAGATCATAATGAAGTGAGCAGGTGTAAAGAGCCTCAGCCTCACAACACGGACGTTTTCCAAAATTGTAATGTCAAATAAAGTTACCGCTCAGTTATGTCACGTGACTTACGTCACCTTA